TTAATTTTAATCATAATTTTTTGATTTATTTTTAATTTAAATTATTATATATTTTCGGCAAGTAAAACTAATGAAAAATAATAATATTTTAGCCATGAAATTCAAGAGTAATGTTATAAATATTAATTAATTTACTAATTAACACACTAACTAGATACAATATTATGCAAAACATGTTAAGTGGTGGAACCCACATGTATGCCTTGTATTTTAGTTAGTGTGTTAGTACGCTAATACTGTGTTTGGTTGGGGGATTTGAGGAGGAATTTAGAAAGGAAAATGGAAAAGATAGGTGAAATGCGAATAAAACATACCTATATTTCACCTAGTTTCACATACTTTTTCCATTTCTCTTTCTAAATCCCTCCCTAAATCCCCCAACCAAACACAACGTAAGTGTTTCTAGCATTACTCTAAACTCAATGTAGGTTTACATAAAATGTTCAGAATATTTTTTTCGTTGAGTTTAATAATTAAAATATTTTTTCATTAATTTACTTAACAAAAATAGACAATAAATTGTCTTTTGAACCAAAAAATAAGCAATGATTTAGATTGAAAATAAATTAGAAGATTATGATTAAATTGATAAAATTAAAAAATTAAGATTTATTTTGTTATAAAGGTTAAACATTGAATTTTTTTTTTCCTTTAGTAATTTTCCAAATTTAAATTTTGAATAGTTAAGCAAACAAGTGAATGGTATTGCAATTTTGTATAATGAATATATCATGTTAATTTACGCCTAATGTCATCTTAATCTCCCCACTTAAGATGTTTGGATTGGATTTCCAAAAATCTTGAACCGTTAATTTAATTATAATCTTATCGAAATATACTGTTTTTTATCATTAATCTGTAATTTTTTCTTAGGCAAGGCTTCTCTAGTTCACTTTGTGGACTAGACAATGTTGATGAGCAGGGTTTATTACGTGTCCTATTTCGATAATTAGAACAGTTTAATATGTAAAGCTAATCGAGTATTTCATCTTTACATGTTAATTAGATATCTATAACTCCTTGATTAGAACACATTTTTGTCGATAATTTATTTTTAAAATTATATTCATTATTGACAAAAATATAATTTGATCGAGGAGATATCGATAACTGATCAGCGTGACTTTTTTCATAGATGAAATGCTCAATAAATATTACATATTAAATAATTTATATTATTAAAATAAAATCCGTGATAAGTTCGATGGGTCTAACTGCAGCGTCCGGATCCTCTAGAGTCATCCTCTAGAGTGATCCTCTAGAGTGGTCCCTTAGAGTGCAACACGTGTCCCATTATCGCATCCAACGGCTGAGATGATCCCTCACCAAAACGGCGTCGTTTTGGTGAGCTAGACCAAAAAAAAAAAAAAAAAAAAAAAAAAATTTACAGAGCTGCAGATCGAGTCGAGAGAGGGGAGGAAGAAGAAGAAAATGGATTTGAAGGGAGGACAGATCGAGTCGAGAGGGAGGAGGAGGAAGAAGAAAATGGATTTGAGAGAAGAAAATGGATTCTGTCAAATCTATTGTTGGGCTCTGAGGGAAAGATGAAAATGGATTCTGAGGGAAATATGGGTTTCGGAGCATACAAAACTCAAACTCGGGGGAGTTGGAGTCGCTGCTTCGTCTTCCATTGCTGCAAGGTGAGAGTATTGTTGGGCTTGCCATTTGAGAGAGAGAGAGAGAGAGGGAGAGAGGAGAGTTGGGAAGTTATATTGGGTTCCTGAGGAGAGAGAGGGAGAGAGGGAGTGTTTCGAGTAGTCTACAGATGCAATAGAGAAAGGACAAAATCCATTTTCTCTCAAATCTATTTTCTTCCAATTTTTCTTTTTTGGTCTGGCTCACAGAAGAAAATGGAAGTTCATCCATGGTGATGAATTTCAGCTCTGTAAATTTTTTTTTTTTTTTTTTTTTTTTTTTTTGGTCTAGCTCACCAAAACGACGTCGTTTTGGTGAGGGATCATCTCAACCGTTGGATGCGATAATGGGACACGTGTTGCACTCTAAGGGACCACTCTAGAGGATCACTCTAGAGGATGACTCTAGAGGATCCGGACGCCTAACGGCACTGGTTAGTCGTCTGTTTTCTTTTTTATTAAGCTATGTTCCAAAAGCAAAAGCAGAGTCAGCCCCTCCCCTCACATGGATTGTTGTACTGGGGTTGGGGTTATAAATGAATAGAATTATTCGTAAACAAGTTGGAACTTAATTTGGGAATGACTCGTTTAAATTCCGTTGGTTAAATTTATATTGTGCTTAAACTCATTAAAATTTTAATAAATAAGTTCAACCATCTAAAACTCAGTTAGTTAATTTGGCTGGTTAGCTGTTTTGTTTAATATTTATTTAAATAATAGAATAAATATATTATTTATACATTAAATAATATAAAAATATATTTAAAACTAGGATAAAAGTAAGGGTGACCATTGGTTCAATGATAAAATTTTAGCTTAATAACCTTGAGATTATGAATTTAAGTCTTGAGACAATCATTTTGTGCACTATTTCAAAGGTTAGGTGTGTACTCAATTTTTTTTCCCTCCTAAACACATATTAATGTGCACTAATTGGGCATTATTTTATATATTTAAATAATATAAATATAAATAATAGCTAAATTTATTTTTATGTATATAATAGTTAACTATAGATGATATATTTATATAATAGTAGTAGTAGATATTATTATTTTGGTAATATATTGACTTTTTTTTAGTATATTTATATATATTGTATAAGTAAAATTTCAATAGCATCTTTAATCTCATACTTAAATATGAATTTCTAATTTCTTTGACATGTTAAAACTCGTGAATAGGTTCAGACTTGAAGAATTTCTAATTTCTTTGACATGTTAAAACTCGTGAATAGGTTCAGACTTGAATCAAGCCTAAGCCAACTTGGCTCGGATTTGTTAAAATTTTAATAATCAAGTCTAATTATATTAAAATTCGGTTCAGATCGACTCGTTTGCAACTCTTGTTGGGGTCCATCGAAGCATAAATGCACCTTCCTTTAAATGGCAAGTACTTTTTATTCTATTTTTTCTTTCATAATTCAATTAATTTTTAGATTTTAAAAAACAAGAACTAAATTTTGAATAATAAATTATAAGTAAAAGTTATATCAAACAATTTAATATTTTAGTACTGTTTGGGAAGTTTGGTTTTGGGTTTTTGTTTTTTTGATTTTTTTTCACTAAAAGACAAATTGGTTACAAAAAAAAAAAAAAAAAAACGAATCCAAACAAAATATCACATCAAATCCCATAATCATTTCACTTTTTCTCTCACAAACATCACATTTAATCACAAAAAAACTCAATTATTTTCCCAAACACAAAAAAAAATTTCTCCAATAATATCCTACAACTAAAAAAACTACAAAAAAACCTATTTCCCAAACACCCACATAGTCTCTTACAATATAAATATATATAAACAATTAAAAAATATTACACCAAATAATCCAAATTATAATATATTGTGAAAGTTAATTTAGTCCATATACCATTTACTCATCTGACATTTGAAATAAACACACAATTTTTATGATTTTTCTCACAATTATTTATTAACTAAAAAACTCATTTTACTTTTAAAATAAAACTTTAACTCATTTGAAATATCTATTTCCCATTAAAAAAACTCATGTTAGCCGTCATAAAGGCAATTAAAAAAGTAAAACCCCATTGTGTTTAGTTTGAATTTTTTAAATTAAGTTTTTTAAAATTTGAGTTTTTTGATTTTTGTATTTTTTTTGTTTTTAGTGAATATTTTTAAAATTTTAAGCATTTTTTTTTTACTTTTTTAGACGCACCTTACTTAGATGTATCTAAAAAGTAAAAAATTTGCGAAAAAATATTTTAAAAAATTAATAAATACATAAAATACAAAAAAATGTACTAAATTCTTGTGTTTTTTTTTTTGGTATTTAGTTAATTTTTAAAAGATTTTTTTTACAATTTGTTTACTTTTTAAGTGTATTTATGTTAGGTGTGTCTGAAAAGTAAAAAAATTGCTTAAAATATTAAAAAAATTCAGTAAAACAAAAAAAATACGAAAAATAGGAAAATATAATTTTTTGAAAAGTGTTTTTAGAAAAATAGAACCAAACAAGCTGAATAGGCTTCCGTTGGATTGTGTTGTTTGGGCTATGGGGATTTGTCACGGCTCCGTCTCAATGATTTGAGCTGTTTAGTTTTTAAATTACAATATGTTAATTATTCATAAAAAAAATTAGATCGATTAGATAATTATAATCACATTAGTTCATGACAAAAATAAACGACAAACAATATTTAAAAACTTGATCATTCATTTTTTGAAAACAAATGTAATGAACTAACAGGACATGACTATTGGATTGACCTGATTTTTTTCATGAATGATTTACACATTATGATCTAAAAAAAGAATGATTCAAATCATTTAGACAGAACCCTAATAGATTTCACGAATCAAAACAATACGATAGCTGAGCCCAAACTATAATATGTGAAAACAAACTAATTATTTAAGTATTAATTTTTTTATAAACTTAATTTTTAGCTAGTAAATTAACTTTTTAGTTAAGTCTAAAAAAAACTTTAAAAAGTCACATCTCATTATATAAGTCATGAATATTTTCCTTATTTTTTTGAGGCAAAATACACTTTACGCTTTGTTCTATGCATGTAAAATAAATTATATTTACCTCTCATAATTTTTTTTTAAAATATAGTTAATCTTACGTTTTTGACATAATTATATTAATTTTGTACAAAATTTTAATTCACGTAACATTTAAATTATTTTTCATCAATAACTTTTTTGTCAAATAAATGAAAAAATAATATTATAATATCTTTCTTACTAAAATGCTTATTTACCATTATTTATTTCAATATTTAACTATCATTAGTATTAATTTTGATAGTTTTAATTATACTAAAAGATAAATCAATATAATTATATATTAATTTATTAACTGTATTATCTCAAAAGGGAAAACCTCAAAAGAGGTGAGTGTAGTCTGCATCAACTGTTAAAGAGTTCATTGTTTGGCTTTTGATACCCTCCTTCTATTTGATTTCGTTGTTGTCTTCCTGAAAAGCTTACTCTTCACTGCCGGCGAATGATTATGCAGTGCATTTTTTATCTGCAAGAGACGGAACAAAATCTCAAAGGTTTTTCTTTCTTCATTTCAAAAAAAAAAAAACTCTCTGTAATTTTTACTTTCTTCCTTCAATTTTATTCTGTGTTCGAGTGTTACTTACCCGAAAGAGAAAAAAAAAAAAAAAAAAAAGAACTCTGTATTCCTTTTTGATTTCAGAGATCTTTGTTATCTTCTCCAGTACAGCTCTATTAGAACTCATTATCAGAATAATATTCTGTTGTGTGTTCTGTTTTCATTTTACAAAGCTCCCTTTCTTGGTTTCTATTTCTGTTATAGTACAAAGCTCCCTTTCTTGGTTTCCCATTATATTATTACAATATAATTCTCCATATTCAACCCTGCTTGTCAAAAAAAAAAAAAAATTGTTTTCCCTTTTGATTTTGTCAAGTGTCATCGAAGTGTTTCTTTCCTGTCTTCATATCCTCTGCAAAATAGTATTACTCTCTTTGTTCTGTTTTGATTTGCAAAGCTCAGTTTCCTCATTTCCATTTTGATTGTAGTAGAAATCCCTTTTTGTTGTGTTCTAGTCTTTTACATTTTAAGTTTTCACTATCCTCAGAAGAAAAACGTGCGAGAAATGGTCGTGAACTTTGTTCTTCCTGTAGTAATGAAGATTGGAGAATATCTGGTTGCCCCAGTTGGCCGCCAGTTTGGTTATTTGATTTTCTATGACAGAAACATTAAGAATCTGGAGAAGCAGGTCCAAAAGCTGGAAGATAAAAGATTTAGAGTACAAAAATCAGTTGAAGAAGCAGAGACAAAGAGAGAAACTATCGCACCAGATGTCCAGCGGTGGTTGAAAACAGTGAACGAACTCAACGAAGAGGCTAAGAAATTCCTCGAGGATGAAATGAAGGCAAACAAAGGGTGTCTGAATGGGTGGTGTCCAAATTTGAAGTCACGCTACTCCTTGAGCAGAAAAGCTACAAAGAAAACTCAAAGTGTGGAAGAGCTACGTGGAGAAGGAGATTTCTCTAGAGTGTCCTATCCTGCAGTTGCACCTACTGTGGGGACAACATTTGCATTCACTAGAGGTTTTAAGGGGTTTGAATCTAGAAGATTGATTATGAATGGAGTTATGGAGGCACTGACAGATGATAGTATCTATGTGATTGGGATATGTGGGATGGGAGGGGTTGGTAAAACAACTATGGTGGAAGAAGTTGCCAAGAAAGCGGAAGAAAAGAAGATGTTTCATAAAATCGTGATGGTAGTAGTGTCCCAAAACCCAGATTTGATTAATATTCAAGGTGAGATAGCCAAAATATTGGGTTTTGAATTACCTGGGGGAAACAATTTATTTGCCAGAGCAGGGGAACTAGGATCAAGAATATTGAAGGCAGGAAGAATCCTTGTAATATTGGATGATGTTTGGGAGAGACTGGAATTGAATAAAATAGGAATTCCATTTGGAGATAATCACAAGGGTTGCAAAATTGTGATGACTTCAAGAAATAAAGATGTATGCAACAGCATGGGCACACACGAGAATTTTGAGGTTGGCATCTTACATAAAGAAGAAGCATGGAATCTTTTCAAGGAGATGGCTGAAATTTCGGACGAAGGTACAAGTCACCCAACTGGTTTGCAGTTGATGCAGATGGCAGTTGCGAAGGAATGTGGAGGTCTGCCCATTGCTATTGTTATAGTTGGGAGGGCACTCAAAGGTAAAGGCAAGCCTTCATGGGATTCTGCTCTTGAACAATTACGGAAGTCTATAGTTAATAACATCAAGGGAGTGTATGACAAGGTGCTTAAATCTTTGGAGTTGAGTTACAATTTCTTAGAAAGTAAGGAAGCCAAGAAATGCTTTTTGCTATGTTCTTTATATCCAGAAGATTTTGCTATTCCAATTGAAGATCTCGTTAGATATGCAATTGGGATAGAGTTGTTTGAGCGCATTGATAGTGTGCACCAAGCAAGAAATAGAGTATATTCTGTAGTTGATGACTTGAAAAAATGCTATCTATTGATGGAAAGTGGACGAGTAGATTATATCAAAATGCATGATGTCGTACGTGATGTGGCTATATCAATTGCATCTAGGGAGGAGCATTCGATTGTCGTGAGATGTGATGAAGTATTGAAAGAATGGCCCAAGAAAGACCGACTCGAAAAAAATGCTATAATTTCATTAAAAGTTGATGGTATGCATCGGCTTCCTGGTAATTTAGAATTTCCAAATCTCCATCTTCTAAAGCTAGATTGCAATGCTGGATTACCACCAATTTCATTATTAGATGATCTCAACAAAGGAATGGAGGAAGTCAATGTACAAGAGACCCAAGATAGTTTTTACCAAGGAATGAAAGAACTTAAAGTGCTAGCTTTATCCGGCTCATTGACGACATCACTTCGATGCTTGACCAACCTCCGAACCTTGTCACTTTTTCGTTGCCGACTTATTGATGATGGTATCTCTGATATCGGAGCATTAGAGAATCTGGAAATTTTGAGGTTTGGCTGGTCTTATATCAAGGAATTTCCAAAAGAAATAATAGGTCGCCTTGCTCACGTGAAGGTACTTGATTTGTTGGGAAGTGTGGTGAAAAGGATTTACCCAGGGGTTTTGGCAAGCTTATCAAAGCTAGAAGAGCTGTATGTTGGGTCTATCTTTCGAAATTGGTGTAAAGATGAAAAAAGAAAAGAAGGTGCTAAAGCAATAATCGATGAGCTAGCGTCCTTGTCCAATCTGGTGGCTTTGGATATTGCTCTAACAAACATTTCCTTCTGGCCGAGAGGTTTGGTCATTGAGAGGTTAAAAAAGTTCAATATACGTGTTGGCATTCCCATTCGCTATCCCAGTCACATTCGCTCTTACATGCGTAAGAATTTTCGTTTCTCTTCGTTATCAAATCAGTTGCAGCTTGGAGTTGAAAACATGAGTGACATTGTTGAAACGAGGCTTAATTTTCTGTTGAAGAGCACTGAAATTCTGACTTTAAACTCAAGTGTAAAAGGTTTGAAAATTCTCTGTGATTTGGTTGGCGAAGATGGTTTTGAATGCTTAACGAATTTGTCACTAGCTGAGTTGTGTGATTTGGAATACCTCATCAATACAGCAGATGGGGTTCCACAGAGTGTTTTCCCTGTGTTAGAGGGTCTATATCTATTTAATCTGGATAATTTCAAAGGGATTACTAGTCATGAATGGCGACTACCGAACAAGGCTTTCAGTGCATTGAAAGTGTTGAGGATGGAATCCTTGCCTGAACTGACAAATTTGTGGAAGGGTCCCACCCAGCTTGTATGGCTCGGCAACCTGACGTCTGTAAAAGTGCGGGGTTGTCATAAACTGGAAAGTATGTTCTCACTTTCCATAGCTAGAGATCTAGTGCAACTGCAGGACCTTCAAATAGATGATTGCCATGTGATGGAAGAAATTGTTTCGAGTGGCGGAGGAGAGCATGAAATAGCAGCAATAGCAACAGCAAATTTGTGGAAGGGTCCCACCCAGCTTGTATGGCTCGGCAACCTGACGTCTGTAAAAGTGCGGGGTTGTCATAAACTGGAAAGTATGTTCTCACTTTCCATAGCTGGAGGTCTAGTGCAACTGCAGGACCTTATGATATTAAATTGTCCTATGATGGAAGAAATTGTTTCGAGTGAAGGAGGAGAGCATGAAATAGCAGCAATAGCAACAGATAAAATCGAGTTTCCTAAACTAAAGATATTGGATCTTCAAAGACTTCAAAGTTTTATTGGTATCTGCAAAGCTATGAATGCAATTGAGCTGCCACAACTGAGTTCCTTGACACTCTGGAAAATGCCAAAGCTGAAGCGTCTCTGTCCTGCTTCAGATTCAGAGAGTAATTGTGATCCCATCATTCAACCCCTCTTCAACAACAAGGTGTGCTTTTCTTATTTAAGAGCTTAATTAATTGCTAATTTGTGAACCACTTTTCATTTTTTTTACTATTACATCTCTATTTGAGTTTTAAATTTTTTCATATTCAATCGTCTGCGTCACTTTTTTAAATCGTTTGCGTCACTTTTATGCCATATTCAATATAAATTGTGTGTTTACATACATATTTGTATTTATATATCTTTATTCATACCAAATAAAAATAAACAAAATTTATCAACAGAATTACTATGCATAAAATTCATACAAAATGATGTGATAATTGTATTTTTACAATCTTGAACCACAATGGCGGGCTTTGCATTGAAGTGAGAGGATCATATAAGGCCATGTTCTGTATGGAAAATTCTATTTTAAAAAACAAAAAATTAGCTTGATCGGACACTAAGGGCTTGCTTGGTTTGTTTTTTAGAAAAATTTTTGGGAAAAATTCTCTACAAACAAATTTTTAAGGCCCCGTTTGTTTTGGGCTATAGGGAGGGTATTGGGACTAGTAATACCAAGGTATTACTAAAGTCCCTGTTTGTTTGCAGAGAAAGGGTTGTGACTATTAGTCCCTTGGTATTGCTAATACCCTTGGAAGGGGGATTGGTAAGGAGGAGGTAGAGATGGTATTAGAAAATAGTGAGGGGATTAGAAATTTTTTTATTTTTTATATATTGGGAATTTTTTTTTAAATATAATGTTTAATTTTTTATATTTTTTTATTTGTTTTATTATTTTATATAAAAATAATTTAACAATTCCTCATTATTAATCCCCTCACTATCAATCCCCTCACTATTAATCCCCTCACTATCAATCCCCTCACTAACAATCCCCTCACTATTAATCCCCTCACTATCAATCCCCTCCATTCTATCTCCCAAAACAAACGGCCTCTAACAAGACAAGCTCGCTCGAGCTCAGAAACACAGCTCTCAGGTCCAGACACAAACTCGACACTCGCTCGAGCGACCAACTCCTCGCTCGAGCGAAGGCCCAAAATTCTGGGCAGCAACACTTGGCTCCCAAACACAACCAACCTGCAACAAACCTGCTCAACACATCCTATAACTCAAATATGAAGTAACAAGGATGCAAACAAGATAATAAACAACTACCAACATCCACGGACACATGTCCGGATCACTGTTCAACAAGGGTAAACCCGGGATCGCTATATAAAATTCATACAAAATGATGTGATAATTGTATTTTTACAATCTTGAACCACAATGGCGGGCTTTGCATTGAAGTGGGAGGATCATATAAGGCCATGTTCTGTATGGAAAATTCTATTTTAAAAAACAAAAAATTAGCTTGATCGGACACTAAGGGCTTGTTTGGTTTGTTTTTTAGAAAAATTTTTGGGAAAAATTCTCTACAAACAAATTTTTAAGAGTAATCAAACCAAACAAATTTTTTTTAAAAAAAATCTCAAAATTTTGTATGGTTACCTACTTTCCAAAATCACTCTCTCTCATACACATCAAATCAATCACTTTTTTTAAAACTCTCTCCTCAAAATAATTTTCCAAAACCATTTCTAAAAAAAAGAAAACCAAACAAATTTTCGTACTTTTTATCTCAAAAATTACTCTACAAACACAAACCAAAAGTGTCACTGGATCGGATTACATTTGTATAAAAAATAATTAACAAATAGTATAACTTTCAAATGTAGTCAATCAAATTTTTTTAGACAAATGAGATCTAAATAACTAAATTTTTGGTATGAATGATCTTTTAAGAAAGTCATACAAAATGAATGGTTCGGATCTCTACAACAAATGAAAAGTGCAGTTTGCATCACAACTACAACAAATGAATAGTTTGGATCACTATTCAGGTCAAAAAATTACATTCACTTTGTATATTTAGTAATGTGACATTCTATTAAAATATCTAAATCAACTCTCTCTTAATTATTCTCTAATTATCAACCAATCATCTTATTGACAAATTATTAAATTAAAAAAATGAATTTATAATGTAGATTTATATATTATTTTTTTAATATTTATATTGTAATAAATCATTGAGGTGGAGCCCACCCCATAGAGCAAAAAGTTGAGAAAATTCATCATTCCTTTTTTTGTCAACCCACCAAGCTCAACAACTCCATAATAAGGAGGAAGAAATAAATCAATTATCATAAAAGCATCAAATTGCTCTCTATAAAATTGAGTTCGAAATTTTACACCATGAAAAGTGTTACATAATTACTAAGTCAAATTTTTTGCTGATCAATTTAAAAATGGTATATTTGAGTAGTTTCAATTTTAAAATATTTACTCAAAATATCTTTTTAACTTTGGTAAACTAACTAATCGTTCATTCATTTTCTCTGGATCATAAATGAATAAATAGAGATTTAATTAAACATTATAAATTTAATGTAAATTGGGTTTTGTAACGCCCTCAAAATAATAACATTAAACCCATCAGATAAGACAAGCATTTACATATAAACTAACCACATTCCTTTATTTCATTGAGTTTCATTACATAATGGGTTTTAATTTATTTTGTTCTAATAATAACTTGAGATATTAAACCTTATAAAATAATAAGAGGAAACACTATAGAGCACACTCTTTAAAGGGTGTGCATTATATGCATCTTATAACTAAAAAGAAAAATGATATAATTTCATATTTTATGAGTTATAACTAAAAAAAAAAAATCATAACTAAACCCAACATAAGACATAACTAAAATAATATCATAACTTAAAAAAAAAATTGATTAAAACCGAAAATGACATAACTAAGGGTGTATATGATACACCCTTTTAAAGGTGGTGTATATTAGAATTTTCCAATAAATGAAGTGTAAATTGGGTTATGTAGGCTACAATTAAGTTAGCATCTACCCAATTTTTTAGTTAATCACTATATATATAGTCAATGTAACTATATAAGAAAAGATTTAGGGCAAATTATATTTGTAGTTTTTGTATTTTAGTCTTTTTGACATTTTAGTTCTTATAATTTTAATTAGCTCAATTTAGGGCCAGTCAACAGTTGCCTCGGCCTCCAAATTTTGATAAAATTTAGGGCTCACAATTAGAAATAAGTATCATGTGGTTTCATTTTAAATTGATGTCATAATTACTTCAATACTAATTTAATCTATTTATTTTTTTATTTTATTGTATCAGGTCATTTTTGGTTTGTGTCTATTTAATGTTTCACGTTAAAACTTTCACTCTTAGTTAAAAGTAGCAAGTGTATGGAGATTTTTTTTTTTTTTTTTTTTTGCAAGTTAAAATTTTATGAAACTAATCTCCACTAAATAAAATTATTCATAAAATATTTGATTTCAACTCAATTATATTTCCTTATTTAAAAAAAAAATATAACATATAATTATTATATATTTTTTTAATAGAATGACTCTATATGTAACAAACAATTCATATCTTAAATGAAAAAAATTATAACATATAATTATATATATTAATAGAATGAATCTAAAATATGTAACAAAAAATACATATCTTAAATGGGGAAAAAAAAATAAAATCATATTAGTTTAACTTTTTAATTCAACTAATCTAAGTTCACAATCAAAACTGAAAGGTCATACTAAGATGATCTAAATAAGTGCACTTTTTGACTTTTTATGAAATATGGGTTATGTATGAGTTGGGTTTGAAGTGATGTGGTAGAGAGGTGATGTGGCTTAAATAAGATGATGTGACTTAAATAGGATAGTGACTTTTTGACTTTTTTAGGTTATGACAAACAAGGCCTAAATTATGAATGCTTATTAGTTCTATATTTAAAAAGGGTTTGGCTTCCCTCCCATCCGTGATCGGATTGGAGGGTACTGTTGGGTTCGTGGGGGCTGACTACGGGTCTCGTTTCGATAATCTGAACCGTTCAATATGTAGAACTCATCGAGTATTATATGTTTGTAAAAAAATCACGTTGATCGGATATCGATAGCTATCTCATTGGATCAGATTTATGTCAACCGTTTATTTTTTCACCAGAATTTTTTTATATACAAAACTGATTTGATCACGTAGCTATCGATATCCGATCAACGTGATTTTTTTGCAGGTATATAGTACTCGACAAGTTCTACACATTGCATGATTCAGATTATTAAAACGGGACCCGTGGTAGGCCTCCATGGGCCCAACAGCACCCTCCAATTAGATCACAAACTGGAGAGAAGCCAGACCCATTTAAAAATACAATAAAAGTACTATTTGATTAATACTTTTCCGTAATTGTTTAAATTTTATTTTGTATTATAAGTTTAATATTTTTTTCTTTTGTTGTAATCTAGATTTGTTAAATCATAAAGCAGTTAGACTATATATATATATATTTTTGTTATTGTAATGATTCTTCATATCTTGAAATAAATAAATAAATGTTAGTGGTGTTAGTTATAACTCATTAGTGTGATGTTTCTTATGACTTGGTTATACACATTCTCATATTGATTATGACATTGTTTTGGCTATGATTCAAAATGTGTTTAGTTATGATTTTTTTTTTTTTAGTTATGATTGAGAAATAATAAGTTATGACATTTGTGGTAATCAACCCCACAAATGTCATACCTTGCAAATAGTTTACACTTTTGAGGGTGTATACAATAGTATGACGTGCACCTTCTGAAACGATATATGTATGATATGCAATTATTGTGTGATTCATATTGTGTCGCATCATAAAAAGTGACTTGTTAAACCGGTCATCCAACATGTTACATGAAAGAATCATAAATTTTTCCAAATATCATAACAATTACAATGAATAAGACACTATCAATCATAATAATACGATAATGACTCATAACAAATATAATTAGTTCTAAAAAATTATCATAACATTTTTTTTTTATTATGATTCACCATAACAAATCATAACTTTTACTAATAAATCATAACCATAACATGTTGATTATAACTTTTTCTCCAAAATCATAACAATATTCACGAAATATCACCACTATGAAAATTTCAAACACAATTGTGT